GGGGGACCACGCGGGAATCCTAGGTGCTGCGGTTTCTTATTTTTTGGTCTTTTTGTTGCCTCTTTGATGGACACCGCCAGCCGCATTACATCACATGGATGATGGCCGCAAGAGAGGCTCGGGTGCACAAGGCAAGGTGGGTTGGAAGCCAAGAAGGACCGACTGCGCTTCGTCTTCCGGCTTTGCATCGGCGCGTTTTCCGGTGACTTCTTCTCGACCTTTTTTTTGGACTTCTTACTTTTTCCCTCTGCTCCACCAAGCATGCGGCGTCGCACGCTTCGTGACATCCTGACGACTTGCGCAACGCTCCTGCTTTAGAAAAGGGGCAAGATGGGCGCAGTTGGACGTCTGGTACTCGCGGGCATGGTAGCGTCACAGGCTCGTTCAATGTGCATGGCCAGGCGGACTCTTGGCATCGCTCGGCCCATGGCGCAGGCGAAGACGATGCCTGCATCCTACACTGCAGCGCGCACGTTTTGGAGCACTGTTCCACGTCGCAACGCCGATGGATCCGACGAGGAAATGGAGGCTCGACGACGCTGGGTATCCGCATTTGAGCCGATCCAGCTGCGGCGCAACGACATGGACGTCACCTTTTCGCGCTCGTCCGGACCGGGCGGTCAGAACGTCAACAAGCTCAACACCAAAGCCAACGTACGGCTCGACCTCTCGCAGGCAGGCGCACATGCACACGACTCGCTCGATGCTGCACACCCACGCAAGTGGCTCACGAGGGATATCGTCAGTCGCATCGCCAAAGCTTCGCCGTACTACGTTGCGTCGGACCACTCGATGCTGGTGACGAGCATGCGCCACCGCACCCAGGAGGCCAACGTGCAGGACGCCCTGGAAAAGATGCATGCCCATATCCTCGCGCTCGCTCAGGACGGCCTGGAGGGTGAAACGAGCCAGGAACAGCGGGATCGCGTGAAGAGGCTGCAGCAGGCAGAAGCGCGCCGCAAAAAGACCAACAAGATCAAGCGCGCAGACGTCAAGAGCGGACGCAAGTTCAAGGGCTAGCTAGATTGCAAGCACTCCGCCGCATCATCAGCACAACGATCTAGCTTGCTGCGACGTCCGGGTCGGAGAAGTCCCAGATGTTGAGCGAGCTGTCGCGCGTCTGCCATGTGCGAAAGTGGCCCGAGCCAGCGGACGAATCCGAGGCCGATGCAGAGTCGGAATCGGAAGAATCTCGATCAGACTCGCTGCTGCTGTTTCCTTCGTCCTCTGGCCAATGCCGCGATCCTGAAACAGACGCCAGCCACGGTTGATGAGGATGGAACGACACAGACCCGATCGCATCTGCATCGAACAACAGCAAAAGAACGATCAGCCCTCTCGAATGACTCTTCCTCGCGCTCGACTGCACGACTTACCTTGGTGTGCCTTCCAGCTCAAGTCTGGTGCAATTTCAGCCTGGCCAGCTGCGTCGTCCGAGTCGGTGAAGCGGCCGGTGTCGATGCGCCAGAGATGGATCGAACCTTGATCGTCTCCTGAAGCCAGCCAACGTCCTGCCCAGTCGATGTCAAAAAATAGTCTCTGTGCACTGGCTCCTCCGGGTCTGTGCAGCTTGGCGAGCAGATGTGCCGAGCGCACCCCCGTCGCTGGCTGGCTCAGCGGGCGAAAACTCCACCGGGCCGAATCGCCCATCAGATAACGAATGTCATACACATAGATATGGTCCGAGCGGCGTGACGCCACGAAGAGCACGTACGGAGTGAGCGGGTGGAATCTGAGCTGCGTGACGCCATCGCCTTCGATCTCGCTCCACCCCGCCAGACACGATGTTTGCGCGAGAATGTCCTCGTCGTGCCTGGCCGTGTGTTCGGCAGGCTCAGGGAACGCGGCCGGGTCAAAGCCGTAGATGCCCACGCTGCCGCTGAAGGTTGCTGCAGCCACGAGATCGTGTGTCGGATTGGCTGGATTTGGCGCTGTTGCGAGCGCAGAGACGATGCCGCGCTGGCCGCCTCGGGAGCGCTTGCCTGCGACGAGCGGAAGTGACGAGTGCGTGTTGAGACCTGGCCGCGACAGTGGAAACACAGCCAGAGCAGACCACAGGCCACAGTAGAGCCGCGAGAGGTCCGGGCTGACGGCGAGCGCGTGCGGACCGACGAATCGCTCGACGTGGTTCATGATCGAGTAGCTCGCGCGCGCCTCGCCTGTGCTGCTCGCCGTGAGTCGAGTCGGAAGGTCCCGATGCGATTCAGCAAAGCACCACGTCATTGTCGGCGTCATCCCGACCGCAGCTGATTCTGTCTGTCCAGCACCAGACTCCTCGCTGGTGCCGTGCGCCGAGTCCAATGCTGGTACTGGATACCAGATTGCGTCGAGGAGAGGCGACGGGCTCTTGGTCTCGCCAAGCAACTCCACCGCGCCTCGACAGCCATCGGTGCTGGTGCTCGGGCTCGGATCATCCGCTTTCGAGGCATAGCACCCAAGGATGTGGTTTCGTTGTGACTCTGTGATGGCCAAGAGCACCGAGCCGTCGGGCGCCCAGCTGGCTCGGCGGTAAAAGTCGCTGCGTGTTCTTGCCGACGATGATGGCCGTGACCTTCTCGCAGTGGTCCCCTTTGAGTCCCCCGCTGGTGAGATTGCGCACAGTGCAGGCCTGTCGAGCTGAGCGAGAAGGTGGGGCGATGTCACTTTTGTCTGCTCAGACATACGACGGCGCCACGCAGCAATGCTGAGCTCCGGAGGCGTCGGATACTCCGACTCGATCGCCGCGGCGGTCCGGCTGCCTTCCGACGGCGACTCAGCATCCGCGAGCATGTTATGGCTCGCTGCGGACGAGTGCCGCACCGTAACAGATGATGCGCAGCTGCAGGTGTGACTGCGGTCCAGACGCTGCGGTGGTGGATCTGTGGCTGTTGGTGATGGACGACGTTGGCCAAAGCTTCTTCTGGCTCGAGCCGGCTGCAGTGGACCCTGAGATCGGCGAAATTCTGCACCGCAGCAGCGCCTCTCTGCCCGTCGTTGCTTGCTGAGTCGGCCTCCTGCCAAAAAGAGCTTCGTTGTGGAGAAGCGCGATTCCTCACCGCTTCTTCGCGCGCGACCGTCGGCTGACCGCTGCCATCCACAACGCCGGACCTCATACGGCTCTTGGCTCCCTGCTTCCATGCCTCTACAGACCAGCTTCGTCCCCTCTTTTCAACCGCCGCGATGGGCTTGAGACACAGCATCAACGTAGCCCTCCCCACCATTCGCCCATGGACTCGATAGATGAACACCAACGGTCGAAATGACAATATCGTCCATGCTGCGCACCAGCAGCCGAACAGCCAGCTCCTGGGCTAGAGCGCTGGTCTCTGCCCACCCCACCGCCCAGCTCAAACCACATTCGGTGTCACGGCTGTGCAGTCAACAAAGGCGATGGCACGCTGCCACCCCTGTCGACCATCCAGCTGCGAACCACACATCAAAGCCACCACCGCCACCACCAATAGCAAAACAGAGCTCTGTCACACGGAAGACAGATGCCAAAGCATCAGGGTCAGTCCCCCCGGAGATTCCACGCAATGAAGTCGGCGTCCAACTGCTTCCGCGAAGGCTGCATGAGCAGCTCTTCCCTCCAACCATGGATCCGGTGCCGCCCATCGCCCCAAAGGCACTCAACATCTGTCGCGACCATCTGAGACAACATGGTCTCAAGGCATCAGACGCCTCCACCTTGCCACAGACTGCTTTCGACCTGCCGCCGCTCCAAGGAAAGGACCTCGCCGAGCACTTTTGGACAATCGGCAGAGAAGTCGCACAACCTTGGCTCAGCATGGCCACCCGACTCTCGCTCATCAAGCCCACCAACCCGCCCGAAGAGCTCGAGGAGACAAGCTCAGCCAAACCGGCTGCCGAGGACTTCCGCTTCGAAGCTCCAGAATGGCTCGAACTCGACCCCGCACTGCGCACCTCCGGCCATCTCAAACCCGTCACCTGGTCGATCGAGCCTGGCTGGACAAAGTACCCCGTCCTGCGCTCCAAAGACAATTCGGCCGTCGCGCTTGGACCGGGCGTCAGTGTCGCTCATCCAGATCCAGAAGACGATATGCTCGTCTTTGATGTCGAGACTATGGTGCAGGAAGGCCCGTTTCCGGTCATGGCCACCGCCGCCAGCCCCAACGCTTGGTACAGCTGGCTGTCTCCCTGGCTCGTCGGTCGCGGCGACGGTCATGAACGCAAGGACCATCTCATTCCCCTCGGACCTAGCAGCAAAGATGATCCACCGCGGCTTGTCGTCGGCCACAATGTCTCGTATGACCGCGCAAGGACGCTCGAGGAATACACGCTCGAACTCGGATCCACCCGCTGGCTCGACACCATGTCGCTCCACGTTGCAACTCGAGGCATCTCGTCGCCACAGCGCCCCGCGTGGATGAAGCACAACAAGGCAAAAGCCGAGAAGCGCGCAAAGAAGCTGCTCGAGCAGGCGGCGCTCAAGGAAGAGACTCGCCGAGCCATCGAGAATGCCCTATCGGGTCTCGAGTACGACTCGGACCAGCTCGAAGGTCTCAAGCTCGAGGCGCTCGCCATGGACGCTGAACAAGTTTCTCCGAGCACTGGCCCCACGGAATCGGCCGCGGTCGATAGCAGCGGCGCCACTGCTTCTCCCTCGACGCTCGACATGCCATTCAGCGATGATGAGAGCGGCGGTCTCGCCTCTCGTGTCTCCCAGCCCAGCTCCTCAGAATCACAGTGGCTCGAAGAGACGTCCAAGAACTCGCTCGCCGACGTGGCGCGCTTACACCGCATCCCCATGAAGGTCTCCAAGTCGGCGCGTAACGTCTTCGTCGATGGCGCATCGCGCCAAGAGATCCTGCAAGACGTCCAGCATCTTCTCAGCTACTGTGCCTCCGACGTCACCGTCACACACGAGATTTTCCGCCGCACTTGGCCCGACTTCGTCGCCCGCTGCCCGCATCCGGCCACCATGGCAGGTGTGTTCGGCCTCGGCTCCACCTTTCTCCCCGTCGACGACGAGTGGATCGACTACCAGCATAGGTGCGACGAGCAGTTCAATCGCATCAACGACCAGGTGCAGAAGTGTCTCGTCGAGCTCGCCGAGAAGCTGCGTGACGAGGGCACTCGTGACGTGCCATGGAGTCGCGCCGCCAAGATCGCCGAGGAAAGACAGATGATGACGGATCAAGAGCGACTCGAGCCGGTCTTTCCCGACCCGAACCGCGCGCGAGCTTGGTGGGAGGACGATGCATGGTACTCGCAGCTCGATTGGACGCCCAAGAAACCGAAAAAGGCCAAGGCTTCCGACGGCAGTGATGCGGACGCCCCGCGTTCCGACTTTTCTCTGCCAACCTGGTTCCGTGACGGCGTCCTTCGCAACAAGACCAAGGACGGCTTTGGACCGAAGAGCGTTACTGCTCAGCAGCTGTTGCGCTTGCGCATCGACGGCAAGGCTGTCTTGCGCAGCGAGTCGCGCGGATGGATGCTCGAGGACGGCACGCCGCTTGTGGGGAGCAACCTGTTTGCAGCGACCGCTCTGAAAAAGTATGGAGACCAGATGACAAGCGGCGCAGGCCCTACCGGGGAGGCCATTCTGTCTGCAATCCTGTCGCGCGATGCCTCACTTTCCGACGAGACTGCCGCCCAGTTGCGAACGCTTGCCGAGTCCATCAAGGACCTGTCTGAGGCAGAGATCCAAGCAGACGCGCAACTGGCCCAGCTTGACTGGTCGCTCAAGGACATTCGCCTCGAAGAAGTACGAGAACTGCAACGCAACAAGCAAACGTCTCCGGAAACGGATGGAGAGGGTGACGGCGCCTTGGCTTCGATCGCAGAGCCCGCATGGTGGCCGAAGTGGTATTGGGATCTGTACAAAAGCGCCACGGGCGAGCTGCAGGTCACCATCCGTTCCTCCATCGCTCCCGTCCTGCTCAAGATCTCGTGGCGAGGGTGCCCACTTTACCGCAGCCGCGAGCACGGCTGGGTCTTCCGGCACGATCCCGCCAACCAGGAGCTCATGACGCGACAGACGCCTCTTGCCTTTGGAATGGCAGCCGACGGCTTAGTGCAGCATCTCGCCGCACCCGTGGATGTCAAGGGCTCCAAGAACAAGAAGGGCAAGCCGAAGGGCAAAGGCGCGTCCAAGGCCAGCAGCATGCCTGCTCTGGTGGTCAAGGCGTACGGCAACTCGATATTCTACAAGGTCCCGCACAGTGAAGGAGAGGAAGCCAACGTCGGCAGTCCGTTCGCCAAGTCTTTCATCGCATACTTTGAGGACGGCACGCTGCAGAGCCAGCATCCGGACGAGGTAGGGCGCGCCGCAGCCAAGACCGCGCTGGATCTCAACGCGCAGTGCAGCTACTGGATCGCGGTGCGCGATCGTGTGCACAAGCAGATGGTCGTATGGAACGGCCAAGCAGGCACCGCCATGAAGTACCCTGAAGGCGCTTCTGGTGCGCGGCAAGATAAGGCGGGCGAAGCAGCGCGTCGAAAGGGTCTCATTCTGCCGCAAGTGGTCAGCATGGGCACGGTCACGCGACGCGCCATCGAGAACACCTGGCTGACGGCGAGCAATGCCAAGAAGAATCGAGTCGGTTCGGAGCTCAAGGCCATGGTCAAGGCGCCTCCGGGCTACAGCCTCGTGGGCGCCGATGTTGATTCGGAGGAGCTCTGGATCTGCAGTGTCATGGGTGATGCGCAGTTTGGCATCCACGGCGCAACCGCGGTCGGTTGGATGACGCTCGAAGGCACCAAAGCACTCGGCACCGACCTGCACTCCAAGACCGCCTCGATCCTTGGCACCAGCCGCAACCAGGCGAAAGTATTCAACTATTCGCGCATCTACGGCGCGGGCATCAAACACGCTACCCACTTGCTGCTCAAGGCCAACCCGAGCGTGACGAACGAGGACGCGACGCAGAAAGCAAAGGAGCTCTACATGGCCACCAAGGGACAGAACACGCACTCGGACGAGCTCTTCGGCGCAAAGTTCTGGTTTGGTGGCACCGAGAGCTTCGTGTTCAACAAGCTCGAAAGCATCGCCCTGTCGGACAATCCCAAGACTCCCGCGCTCGACTGTGGCGTCACCACGGCCCTCACCAAAAAGTTCCTGGGCAAAGTCGATTTCGGCAACGGCCGCATGTCGGAGGAGTACATGCCCAGCCGAATCAACTGGGTCGTGCAGAGCAGCGGTGTCGACTACCTGCATCTACTCATCACCGCCATGGAGTGGCTCACGAAGCGCTACAGCATCGACGCCAGGTTCATGCTTTCGGTACACGACGAGGTGCGATACCTGGTCAAGGACGAAGACAGATACCGCGCCGCTTTGGCGTTGCAGATCGCCAATATTTGGACCCGCGCCATGTTCGCCTTCAAGCTGCAGATGGACGACCTTCCGCTCGGTTGCGCGTTCTTTGCTCAGGTGGACATCGACAAGGTGTTGCGAAAGGAGGCGGATGACCCGTGCGTGACGCCTTCGCATCCCGATGCCATCCCGGTCGGCGTCGCTCTCGACATCGAGAAGATCTTGGAGGAGACCAAGGGTTCCCTCCTCCCGGACGGGACGTCGAGCTTGCGGGACGGTTCAGAGAGGTCGAGCATTCCAGCCACGCATGCAGAATCTTCGCCGTCGTACGTGCCGTCGACACAAGTGCATCGCTCGCTCGGAGAGCGCGGTCTGTACTTCTTACAGGCCCAGGCGTCAAAGGAGTTAGCTGAGATCCGCGCGCTGGAAGCGCGCGCAAAGATGACGGAGCAGTCGCCCGAACGCTCCGCCACGCCGGTTCGTATTCCTCGCACGCGTGCGACCGCACCCGAGAAGACTCGATCAGGCATCGCCTCAACCACCGCAGCCTCGAGGCGATCGAGAAGTACGTCGGCAGCGTTCGACCGAGACGACTGGATCAAGACCTGTGCGGAAGACGCAGCAGCCGAAGCGAAGAAACCCGCTCGCCGACGGACAGGTTCAGGTAGCCAGGCTTCCAGCGTTCGCTCAACGGGCGGCGCAAGACCAGCTGCGGCTGGCGCCAAGCGCAGTATTTCGGCCCACACGGTACCGATTAAGTCGGGCTTCTGCACTTTTGTGCCTGCCCGTCGCGAAGCGGCCACCAGCGAAGCTCAGTCAGTCGACGCTGAGCACGAGTTCGACGCGTTCTCTCTGAGTATGTTTCTGCCGAAGCGTCGCGTGAAGAAAAGGACGCCGTTCTTCAGAGAGGCGTCGCATCGACAAAGTGTGCTGTGGCAGCTGTATCGTCCGCTGTTGCAGCGATGTCCGTCGACGCATCCCGAGCTGCTGCGGGAGATCAAGAGGGTGATGCGCAAGAACAAGGCGATGACGTCCGAGGTGAAGACGGCGGATCAGATGCGACGAGCCCACGAACTGCTCGAAGTGCTCACGCTTGCGCAAAATGGCGATGCGACGGCGAAATCGACACTCGCGGCGCGAGAAGAGAAGCTGGCCCAGCGGAGACACGAGCAGTCGTGGAACGAGTTTTGGGAGGCCAAGCTGCACGCCAAGAAGTTTCCGAAGCGCATCGCGCACCACTCGGGAGCGTTGCTGCCGCCAACGATCTTCAATCCGCCACTGCCGCGGTACAAGCCGGTGCAGCCTACGGCGGTGAGCGTGATGATCTACCGGCGGCGCGTCGCGCGCCTGCGACGATCGGAAAGGCGCATGGAGGTCAACGAGCTACTTGCGGCGGCGCACATGGAGAGGAGAGTATTGAAGCTCGCGTGGCAAGGCACATCAGCAGCGCAGGCATCGGAAGCGTACGACGGTCCGGGCTTCGAGGATGCCTTGACGACGCAGGCGGCCATGATCGTCGAGGGTTTCGAACGTGATGCTGCGCGGGCGGCCCTGACGTTTGACCGCAAGACGCTCGTGCTGGCGAAGCGAGCCAGGCTTGCCAAGAAAAGGGTGCACCTCGCTCGCCGTCATGCCGCCGCTGTCAAGAAGCGACTCGGGAAGAAGGCAGCGTCGTCCGATGCGAAAGCGGAAGAGGAAGCAAAGAAGTGGCGCTTCTTACTGTAATTATCTCAGGAACACGTGCAATGGAACAGCACAAATAGGGTTCACGACCGGTCAAGGATTGCCTGGAGTGTGGTTGGGTGAGGCGGGTGATGCTTTGCGGCTTCGGTCTGCCAAGCGCATGTCAATGACACGGTCTGTCTCAGATATGGACGAGCAGAGTGGTACCGACAGATGAAGCCAAAACGATTCAGGGACGAAGCGAGGGTCAGGATGGGAGGGCACACAGCTGCAAGAGAAGACGTCGCCAGAATGTCGGCTTTGCCGTGCAGCGGCCACCCCCACGTCGGCGTGAGCTTCTGAACAACACTGCAGCGGGCCAAGCTATTTTTGATGCTTTTCAAGCAGGACGTTAGAGACGTCGGAATGGCCGAAGGAAGATACAATCGATAAGCTGCCATTCGAGACCTGAGCTTGGATTCGGTAGTAGCATTGGTATTACCCCTCGACAAGCGTCGGTACGTCCGAAGGCTGCTTGCTGCCCGTTGGGGCCGTCACGGAAGCTTGGGCTATGCGACAGCCAAGGCCGAAAAGACGCGATCTTGGGTCGGGAATCGGCGCTAGCCCAAATCGGCTCTTTTTCAGAGCTGCTCATGCACCGAGCAGATCCTACGACGTCACGGCACCGCGGCGGTTCGGGCCTAGCTTGAACTCAAATTCGCGGCTTCTCCGCCTCTTCGGCACATCTGACGCTCTTACGCCCGGGCGTCAGCCAATGACAATCGATCCAGCATAAAGCTTGGAAATCGACCTTCTCGACACTGTACAGCCATGTTCACCGGAGTGCAGAAGAGAGCGGAACGAGAGAAGGCGGAATCCAAACGGAGATTGATCGAGCTGGGTAGCATTCCGGTCTGTGCTGCTGCTGTTTGCCCGCTGTGCATGGAGGGGAGTGAAGGGCCTGCCAACTCCGCCAAAAATAGGACGTGGCGCTGCACAAGCCCCGAGACCGCGCCAAGCCATGACCAGGGAGCAAGGCTGCGCTATGCAAGCCAGTTTTTTCTTACATATCCGCAAACGGCTCTGCGGAGGTTGCGAGGTGGAGTGCATGCGCTAAGAGTCGGCATTTTCACTGCAGCGTCCAGGCCCTGCTAGGCCCGCTGGGTCGATGGCCCGCCCTCACCTTCTGGCGAGCCAACAAAGGTCGGCTGAAAGCTGGGCTGAAGCGTGTCGGCTCGCATCTGCGATCCAACCATTTGGAGCCCAGCCCGAGCGTGCCGTCCTGGATGGCTGCCCGATGAGCGCATTTCGGCGAGCTTCCATCCACGGCATTGGCGTGCCGTCCCTCAGCTCGATTACGCACCAGCTCGCTCTCCTTTGCCTGCCTATCGGATCCATCCGCACGCTCGCTCTCCCTCTACAAACCTAGCCCACCCGCTCTTGCCTTCCAACCACATCCACCATACCTACAATCCCCTCACATTTGATACCCAGCAACCTCCTGCTCGGCCTCTAGATACCGCCTAGAACCTCATTCGTCACCTATTCACGCTTCAAGATGACTGACCTCTCTCGCAACGGCTCGGTCCTCGTCGCCGAGATCAAGGCCATCCACCCGCCCCAGGGTGCCAACGGTGCTGCTGCTGTCCCCGGCACGGCCACCGACGGCGGTGCGGCTCCCGCCGTCGACCCCTCGATCACCTCTCCCCAGGCCTCGCAGATCTCCAACGGTCACGCGCCCCAGGCCTCGGAGCTGAGCGCTGGCACGGGCGCCATCGCTGTCAACCACAGCGCCGATCCCTCGGTGGCCACGGGTGTCGCTGTGCCTGCCACCGTGCCCGAGTCTGCGCCTATTGCGCCTGCTGCTGCCCAGCCCGATCACGCCGCAGCTGCTGCGGCTGGCGCTGGCGCCGGCGCTGCTGCTGCTCCTGGTCTGGTCCAACCCCAGACCACTCCGATCCAGCCCTATCAGCCCAGCGAGGCAGCACTCCAGCCCACGCACATCAACACCGCCGTGCCCGCTGCTGGCGCCGCCGCCCCTGCTTCGGCTGCCCCTTCGGCTCTCAGCGCAGCTGGCACCGCCCCCGGAACGGCTCCCGGCAGCGTGATCAGCGCCACCTCGCCCATTTCCGCCGGTCAGGCCCCTGTCCAGCCGCAAACCGCCCCCGTGGCCGCCCAGCAGCCCCAGCAGCTCAACGCGGTCGCCCCCGCCGCCGCCGGTGCCGCCGCTGGTGCTGCTGGCGCTGGTGCCATTGTGGCCCACCCGGCACCCACGACCGTGGCTGCGACCGAGGCGCCCAAGTCGGCGCTGAGCCCCAAGGAGGTAAAGAAGATGGACAAGCTGATGAAGACGGAGGCTAAGAACGAGCACAAGTCGCTCAAGCGCGCCATCAAGGACGCCGCGTCGGCCGAGAAGCTCTTCCGCAAGTCGCGCGACGCCGAGCAGCAGTCGATCAAGCGCCACCAGAAGGCGACGACCAACGAGCACAAGGCGGCCAAGGCGCTCAACAAGGCGCAGGCCGAGCACGAGAAGTACGCCGCCGAGCTCGCCAAGGCGGTCGAGGAGCTGGACATCAAGAAGCGCCACACGGAGAGCACGCGCGAGGGCTACGAGAAGGCCAAGAAGCACATTGACGAGCTGCGCAACCAGAAGACCGTCAACGACCAGGCTCGTTCGCGCCAGGCTGCCCAGATCCACGGCGCCCGTGCCTAAGCGCGCGTTGCGACGCGGACGAGCTCAACTGCTCACTCTCCGCCAATGACGTCTCTGTCTGCACACCGCCGTACGCACCTCGTTCTTCCTCTAATCCAAAGATACCCGGGGGCGATGCGTCCGTCGGGCAAGTGCAATGCAACTCGCCCCTTTTGACTCTTCGTTGGCTTTGTTGGTGGTGCCTGTTTTCTGTTCGATGCCCGCCTCTGATACGGGTGCCAGCTGTCAATACGAATCGAGATCGCCATCATTCCGTCTGTGACCGACAAGCACCTTGAGCGCCGTGTGAGTGATGCGGCGTGGAGTGTTGAAGAGGCTTGGGAGTGGATGAGTTCTTTCGTGCGAGAGAAGGGGGTGGATAAAAATGGGCGATTACAAATGGCTCGCGCGGCAGCGAGCGGGGCTAAGTGGAGAGCTGGGATGGCACGCGCGCTGGCTTGCGGTCGAGTAGAGGGCGCGGCGAGCCGATCTTTTCCGTGTGACCCCGCGCTATCCGTTGGCGGAAGCGAGAGAGAGAGAGAGAGCGTCCCACACGCTGGAGAGTGGGAAGCCGGGTTTGTGTTTGAGTGTTGCTGATCACCATCCACCATCACCCTTTTTGTATTCGCCATGCTTGCTACACGACCTCTTCTTTCGCTTGGACTCGGACGATCGTCGGCCTCGGTGAGCCGTCTTGGCCTGCGTGCTGCGTGCATCGCTCCTGTGCGATCGGCGCTTCCTCGCTTCTCGCGCATGGCAAGCACCTCGACCTCGGCGCCTACCACCAAGCTCTCCCAGCAGCAGAACCTGGATCTCCTCAACGAACAGCGCGCAAAGCGTCCTTCCAGCCCCCACTTCACCATCTACCAGCCCCAAATCACCTGGTACCTCTCCATCATCAACCGTATCACCGGCACCGGCCTCTCCGTCCGTAAGTATCCCCCTTCAACCTCCCCAAAACATCCACCCCCACCATCCCAATTTACTAAAACCACTTTGATCTGCTTGGATCTTGGGCTACAGTTCTGTATGCGTACTTTGCTGCTTACGCGGGGTACCCGCTCTTTGGATCGGCAGAGGCGCTTTCGAGTGCAAGCCTGACCGACTTTGTCGCAACGCTCCCCGTCTGGTTCAAGACCGCCGTCAAGGTCCCCCTCGCCCTCGCCTTCAGCTTCCACAGCCTCAACGGCCTTCGCCACCTCGCTTGGGACTGGGGCTACGCACTCACCCTCAAGGGCGTCTACTCCACCGCCTACGTCGTCATGGGCGCCACCGCCATCTCCACCCTCGCCCTCCTCTTCATCTAATCCTCCGATTCGCACGAGGTTTCGGATCAAGACCGTCGGTTCAATTGCAAGTGCTGAAAACACAAACAGCAAGGGATCTGGAACCCAGTGCACACCGCGCAGACTGTGCACACACGGAGAAGAGGGCGCGAACTGAGAAACACGGACACGCGCAACACTTGAGGTGAATCTGAGATTGCTCGAGACAAATCTAGGAGGATACAAAAGCGGACATGTGGGCGGGCTAGCGGCGAGCGCCCTCATCGTCGCTCTCTTCGCTCGCATCGCTTCCGCTCTCGCTGCCCGATTCGCTGCCAGACTCGCTGCCGCTCTCGTCGTCGTCCTTGCCGAGATCAATGTGGGTGCGTTCCATCTGGAATCCGACCTGCTCGAGCTGGGACTCGATCTCGTCGACCTTGCTTGCCGGCGCGACGACAGCCACGACGCTGTGGGCCGGATCAAAGAGCGGCAGAATGTACTGCCTCAACGAGCGCCTGATGTCGTCGAGCGTCACCTTCTGCACGGCCGACAGCAGCAGCTTACCGCGGTGCTTGGGCGCCTGCTTGAGCACCTGGTCAAAGAAGCTCTCCTGCGCCGCACCGGACACCGTGCCTTCCGCCTCGGCAATGTTGAAGTGCAGCGAGCTCTTGGCCGACTCGAGCGTAGTCTCGTCGATCTCGAGCACCAACTCCTCCTCTCCATCCGCCGTCTTGGTGGACTCGCCGCAAAGCGCGCGAATGACCTTGCGCGCCTCGACAAACGCCTTGGCCGAGTCGGGCGAGCGATACAGGCTGAAGTGGATCAGCTCGCTCTCTGGGTTCGACACGATGCTCGCACCGTACGCCAAACCGGCACCGCGGATGTAGCGCCACAGGTACGACTCCATGGCGTTCAGAATCGTAATCGTCGTGATGAGCGCCGGAGCATCCGCGTGCGTGTACGACGGAACGCCCTTGCTGGTAAAGTACGAGTAGGACGACTCGACCGTGGGAAGTGCCGTGATGAGACCCTTGCGCGCCGGCGCCCGGCCCAGCGGCGTCAGCATGTCCTTGCTCCACGGCACGGGCAGCGTAGGCTTGGCCGGAACACCGGACCACGCCGGATGCGCAAAGTGCTCCGCCCACGACGCCTTGGGCTTCTCCAGCGCCAGAATGTCGCCCGCCACCGAAACACGCAGATTCTCCGGGCGCAGCAGCGTAGCTCGAATGCGCTCAAAGTCGGCCACCACCTTGTCGGGGTCGGTGTTGAGCGCTTCCTGCAGAGCAGGCATGGTCTGCACCAAGTTGAGGATGCTGTTGGCCAGGTTGGTCGACTTTTCGCCATCGAGCGTCAGCGATCGGCTGAGCGCCGAGGCGATGGCGCGCCCATTGCGCTTCTGCTCCGGCAGGCTCTGGATGATCTTGCTGATCGACACCTTGAGACGGTCGACCGCAAACTCGCTGCCCCACAGCAGATCACGAAGCCATGCGATGCCCTTTTCGTAGTTGGCACGCTCGAGCTTGAGTTCGGCGCAGACAAGCTCGCCGAACCCGCCGCTGCCGAGCGAGACGTCGTACTCGAGCGTGTCCTCGTCCAGGCCCTTGACCACCTCCTCGTACGTCAACGACGCCTTGGTCGCATCCTGTCGCACCAACGGCAGCGAGAAGAGCACGGAGAGGTAGAGCTGCATCTGCGCGCGCAGCTCCTTGGGCAGATCGGTGGTGGCAAACACGAGCGAGATCGAGACAAAGGCCGAGCTGACGTGGTCGAACTGCACAAAGTAGGGGAGCGAGGCGGAGTCCGCATCGACGTGGGCCTGGATCTTCTGGTCCAGCTCATCGCGCGTGTTCTCCACTTGCAAGCCATAGGCTGTGGTCTTGCTCGGCTTATCGCTGGCAGAGGCGATGGGTTGCACCTGTGCGGTTCCGACTGGGATCCACTTGATGCTGTCGGTGCTGGGGATCTTGAACTGCTTGAGCATCTCGTCTGGGATGGGACGGTCGTTCTCCTTCTTGGCCGCCTCGAGCTGTGCTTCAAGGCGCTTGAGGCCGTCTTCGCCCAGCTTCTTACGCCTCTCTTCCTCGAGCGCCTTGGTGTCGGCCTTGAGCTTGTCCGACAGCGCCGATGAGGGACGGCCAACGACAACGAGCCTGGGGTTCTCGACAAGGTACTGCTGCAGCAGGTCGGTCCACTGCTGGCTGGTCCAGGTGAGCAGCTCGTCGTAGCGCTTCATGTCGTCGAGCGCATTGTGGAGATCCTCGCCGGTGCGTTTGCCGTAGAGGAAGTCGGTGATGAGCAGGTCAGCAAACGAGTCAGCAGGCTTGGTCTCGAGCTGCGAGAGCACCTTGAGTTTGTCGCGCTTGATGATCATGTGCATCCTGTCCATGTCGATGCCGTCCTTGACGACGCCGGCGAAAAGGTTGACGAGCTGCTGATCGAGACGGTCGAGCTGCTCGGAAGGCACCGAGGAGAAGTAGGCCGAGAGCAGCGTGGCGCCCGCCTTGTCGGTCGAGCCAATGTAGGCGTCTGTGCACAAGGGGTCGTCGCGCTCGACAAAGGCCTTTTGAATCACCGACACGGGCGAGTCGGTCAAGTAGGTGCTGAGGACGTTGACGGCCTCGCACGTCATCCAGTCCTGGAATTTGGGGCCCACCCAAGAGATCTGAATCTCGCCGACGCTCTCGTCCTTCTCGGGGAAATCGACAAAGGCGCGTCGACGCTTGGGGTCGGGTTGAGCGCCCTCGGCAGGAGGGTCGGCGGGATCGAGGCCGGGCTGCTCCTTCTTCGATCCGTCGATCTGAGGAGGAATTGCCGAAGCGGTCTCGACAAACGGTCGCTTCCAGCCGCGTGGTCCTTGAGGCTGAGCATCGCGCTTGGTGACCAGACGCTTTTCGACGGCGGCGAGCGAGTCGAGCAGGTCGGCGCGTGCAAGAGGTCCACACACTACAAGGGCAGCGTTGTGCGGGGCGTAGTACTGGTGGTGGTAGTCGCGAATCTTGTCTATGTTGAGTACGCGCAGGGCGGACATGAGACCGCCAGTTTCGGAGCGGTAGGCGGAAGTGGCCGGATAGAGCATTCGCTGCGACTTGAGTTCCATCAGATCCGCAGGCGAGTTCTCGCGACCTTGCATCTCGGAGAAGACGACGCCGGCATCCTGGCCCTTGCCGTTGACGTGGTACACTTCGGTGACGAATCCTTCATTGGTGAGGGTGGGGAAGAAGACGTGGTCGAGGTACACGGGAAGCATGCGGAGGAAGCCGTCGGAGCCTGCGGTGGTGAGGGTGTATGCGGTGTGGTCGTTGGCGGTCCAGGCGTTGGTGCCGCTGGCGAAAGCCCTGTTGGCGAGGGTGTCTAAGACGCCTTTGAACGGGTACAGGTCGGAGCCGAGGAAGATGAGATGCTCGAGGGTGTGCGGCACACCAGAATCCTCAAAGATCTCGGAGGCGAGGGTCATGTAGCAGTTCAGTAGTGGCGAATCAAAGTTGGCCCAGAGCACGGTGAGACCGGTTTCTCTGGATCGCCATTTCTCGACCGACATGCCAGGAGCATAGTCGAGGTCGTACCGGGTGACGAGGTCGAAGTTGCCGTGTTGGGAAGGCAGCCCGTTAGGGGCTGTCGAAGAGGAAGCACCGTCGGCGGGCATGATGCTTGCGTGGCGATTCACAGAGGTTGTGAACGTCCTGCGGGTCGGAGCGTGAGAAAGGTAGGCGGCGAAGGCAGCAGTGGCCAAGGTCAGAGAGCGACCCGTGCTCGGGAAACGAATGTTGGAGAGACGCGACGTGCCGAGAGTTGCGTACGACTTGGAGGCCAGGGTTCGCGGTGCGGTGGCAGAGGAGCTTCTAAAGAGACGAGCTGACTGGCCAGAGAGGAGAGCGCGCGTTGCCAGAGGCATCAATCCACGAGTGATGTCGATGTCGCAGAGGGTCGCACCGAGACGAATCTGACAGGAGGCAGTCTATGTGGTCGAAGCTAAGGATGGTGACCAGCAAGGTTGCTTTTGGTTGCTTAGCGAGTGGACCCCGTCGGCGTTTTGAGCTGAGTTTGGTGCGGTGCCACACGCAAAATTGCAGGGTGGGGATTGTGATCGGGCTCGATCTAGGGTCACGGCCAGATCGTCGGAAGTCGGACCCTAGAAGAAAAGTGGGATCGGGTGTCGGGCGAAGCAGGAGCGAGATTTTTCGGCGGCCACGGAGATTACGGCGGGCAGTTGGTCAGCTGCGAGGCGGCTCGAGGAATTCCGCCACAGCTGAGCGCAACGACGTGATGGCTGCATGATCTCGAAGCGCAACCTCTCCTCCACAGGCGCCAAGACACCTCTTGCACCCATTCAACCATCTATACCCGTCTCACGACATCTGTACAATACTGTCCAATCCCTCTTAGCGTGTTCAGCAGCGCTACGACACCTGCCCATCATGGCCGACGTACAGAAGAACAACAAGTTTGTCACCGAGCTGAACCCGGAAGGCATCAAGCCGTGAGTAGACGAGCGTTCACGATGATGCGCTGATGGTATGGAAGGCTGACGATTTGGAATTGCTCTGCGAACACAGCTGCTGTGCCTGCCCCGAGACCAAGTCGGCGCGAGACGAATGCTTCTTCAAGTTTGGCCACAGCGTCGAAGAGCACGGAGAGTCGGCGCGCAAGTGCGAGGAGCTCGTCAAGAAGCATCGCGAATGCATGGCCAAGCTTGGATACAAGATCTGAGCTGAACTTCCTTCTTAGCATATCTTTGCTGCTGCCAAGCTCGTTACCAGGCCACAGCGCTCTCGACAAGCTTGCAGCGCTTCCATCAGCACTCTCTAGATTCTGCTCTCGTCCACCACTCATTGTACCAGTAATCCTGCCATCTGCACTTTGTACCACATACGCACTTTAATCATCCGCCATAGATCGACACCACGACTGTGTAGCCTGTCGAAAGCGACCTGTTGTTGCTATGCATGCAAGGGGGGCACCGTGTTGCCAGTACCAGCGACTCTGCAAGCTCCGCTGTGCAAAAGCTCGGTCCGGTTTGATTAGAAATCCGGCCTGGATACCGAGACGCAAGGCTATCTAATCGGCCGCTCGCCGAAATCTTAGGCTCGCTTCGGAGATTTCATATCGCCTGAGTCACACGCCCAGGCGACCGACCCCACACCGCTTCTCTCCTTCCCAACATCCTCGTTCTCTGCTCTCACGACAGATCTGCATCGACTCCGGATCGAGCGCCGGGGACAGCACACCGTCCGTTCACAAGTGCTCAGCATGTCGCTGCCAGCCACCGACCAAGCTGCCACGGCCGCCTCCACATCGGCGTACTTTGCTCGGCCCAACCCCACCGCGAGCCTCTTGCTCTCGCACAGGCCGCCAGCCGGCAAGCTGGTGCTCGTACTGGGCACAGGCAAGCTCGCTGCATCTCGATGCTTTGCGTGTCTCGAAGCGGGCATCAGGCCTGTGGTGCTTAGCGTCGCTGCATCCCCAGCGAACCAAGCTTGTGCCGAGATCCAGCACCGCATTGACTCTGCGCAGGCGTTGCATCATTCCATCGAGAGCAACGCCTTGTCGACAGTAGATTCGGTAGAACAATGCTGGAACCACATCCTCGACACATACGATGGCGAAGACAACGATATCTTTGCCGTCTGCATCACCGATACCCTGCACTCTGGTGATGAACCGAGCGCATCAGCGAGCACTGCCTCCAGGAACAAGCCAAGTCTCGATGGCGATGACGAGCTACTGGACACCGCCGCACCGCTCACATCGTATGCCCGAGCCGAAATCATCAGCCGGCTGTGCCGAAAGCGACGCATCCCCATCAATGTGGCCGACAAGCCTAACCTTTGCGACTTTTCCTTCCCCGCCAGCTACCGCTTCCCTTGCACCAACCCCATCTCGCCACTTGATAGCACCGGGGACGCCATGCTTCAGATCAGGTCCACCGAAGTGGTCTTCTCATCCTCGCTACAGATAGCTGTCACCACCAACGGGCGTGGCTGCCGACTCGCAGGTCGCCTCAGGCGAGAGATCGTGTCGGCGCTGCCGCACAATGTCGGAGATGCCGTGGAGAAGGTGGGCATCATGCGTGATCTGGCCAAGCGGCAGGCGGAGAAGCCTCAGGATGCATCTGGCAGCGCAGCCGCAACCGTCGGCGCATCCGCCTCATCTCCGCTCAAGCGCCTCAAGCGCAATGCAGCACGCGCAGGCAAAGACGGCACAGCCGATGTCGAAGAGGAAGATCTCTCCTTCGACACGACGCCGCTCAACAGTCCCGTCCCGCAGCTCGTGCCCAAGAACCCGTTAGAGAGCGTGACCACCAACGCGCGTCTCAAGCAGCTGCAGGTCGAGATCCAGGCACGCCACGAGCAAGAAGCGCAGCAGGCCGAAGAGAGGACCAAACGCAGGATGCGCTGGGTGGCGCAGATCAGCGAATACTGGCCGATCGAATACCTCGGCAACCTCGCCGAACAGCAGATGAAGGACGCCCTTCGCGCGCATGGCGAAGAGCAGTCAGCCCCAGTGCCGCCTGCTACCACCGCTGTTGGTGCCGATGCAACTCAGCACAGGGAAGGCCAAAACATCAACGAGCCATCTTCGCGCGGTCGATCCACTGCTCCACGTGCAGATCAAGATGCTTCCGCTGAGCCATCAGCTTCGCTGGCCCAGCGAGCGCGGTCGCAACACTCGCTCGATATCCGCCCGCCGCCTCCCGAGACGGCGCGCAAGGGCCACATCTACCTTCTCGGGTCTGGGCCCGGCCATCCAGGCCTGCTCACCACCATGGCATACAAGCTGCTCACTTCTGCCTCGACGGACCTTATCTTGTCGGATAAGCTCGTGCCCGCCGCAATTCTGCGGCTGATTCCGCAGAGCACGCCGCTGGAGATCGCCAAGAAGTTCCCGGGCAATGCGGAGGGCGCGCAGTCGGAACTCGTTGCCAAGGCGCTTCGCGCGGCGCTCGAGGAGGGCAAGACGGTGGTGCGCCTCAAGCAAGGCGATCCGTTTGTGTACGGGCGCGGCGGCGAGGAGGTGCTCGCCTTCCGACGTGCGGGCATCGAGTGCACCGTGGTGCCCGGCATCAGCAGCAGCATCGCAGCGCCCGCCATGCTCGGCATTCCCGTCACCCAGCGCGGTGCGGCCGACTCGCTTGTGCTTTGCACTGGCGTCGGTAAGGGTGGCAAGAAGGTCAAGCTGCCCGGATACGATCGTGGCCGCAGCCTCATCGTGCTCATGGGCGTCGCCCGGCTGGCAGCCGTGGTGGCCACGCTCACTGCAGGCGGCTCGTTGGGCGCAGTTGACGCCGACAGCATCGGCGACCGCGAGGGCGCCGTGTTTCCACCGTACACGCCCATCGCCATCATCGAGCGCGCCAGCTCGTCCGACCAGCGCATGGTGGCGAGCACGCTCGATGGCATCGTCGAGGCTATGGAGAATACGGGGGAACAGAGGCCGCCGGGCATGATGCTCATCGGGTGGTCCGTGCTGTCCCTCGAAGGCGACGGCGATACCACGATCCAGGACGACGCACTGACTATTGAGTCGGAGCAGCAGCTCGAGGCCAAGGACCGCGAACGCGTGCAGAGGTGGCTCAAGGGTCGACGCTGGATCGTGCGCGAGGGTCTCGACCAGTCGTACCGCGATGCGCTCGCTGCCTTCCACACTGCACCTCTCCAGCTGCCGGCAGTAGCCCTGACCCACCATCAAGATGAAAAGGCGCAAGTGGCTGGTGCAGACGCAGAGGATGCGGAGCGCTTCAGCAAGCGCGACGAGAGTGGCTGGGCTCCTGCCCGCTATGCGACCGGTGTGCCCGAGGGCGGCTGGATGGCAGGCGAAGCACCCAACCGACCTGCGACCGACGAGCTCGCATACGAGCAGGACAAGACCTACGCCGAGATCCAAGCTAAGCTTCGCGCCGTCTAGAACCCGACACACCACGCACTTGGTATGTTGCAGCAATCGCATTCTTATCTCTTCGCATGTCGTGGGTGAGTGCAGTCTATTTGGCAGTGTCTTTGATGATCATCCGGCCTCTGCCAGGGCCTACTTTGAGTTTGGTTTGTGGTTGGGCGACTTTCTCGGTGCGTTTGCGGCTCCAACTGACTCGTGCCGTATTCGAGCTATCCTGGAGGGGCAAGTCTGGCGTCGAACTGGACGACTTGAATCTTAGGGCAGCTGCAAGCTTCGAGGTAGTTTTGGTTTGTGCATCGTTTGGAGCCGGGTTGGATGTGGGAGGAGTTATATTGTACCGAAACGCCGAGTCCGCCGAGGCGACAGGAGCCAGGGTGAGGGAAGAGACGATGTGATGGAGTGCATCCACCTTGCGCGCCAGATCGGTGAGGTCGGTTTCATCAGCCGGCTCCGAGAGCGTACGGCTCGCAGACGAGACGGGAGAAGGAAGGCCGTATGGATGATCCATCCTTGGCGCCATTGCATGGCTCGGATCGTAGTATCCAGCTGGATGGGGAGTCGGCCTGTAGTATCGAGACGAGCTGCTGCTGGTGGTGCCGGAGAAGAGCGAGGGTGTTGCACGACCGTCGTGTTCGGGCCATGGTGGAAGCGGCCGCGTGGGTGGTGGGGCTCGACGCTCGAGATCGCGCTGTCGACTTTGAAGTTGCAGAGCCATGGTGAGCTGCTCCACCTGCCTGCGCAAAGCCTCGACCTCAAAGCTGTCCTGAGAGGCGCGCGGTGGTTCCGACAGGCGCTTGCATGCCTCCAGCCTCGGAGAGCCATCGATACAGCTGGCATCTTCCCATGCCGCCTCAATCTCGTCGGCCGTGCCCAGTCCATCTGCCATGTGAAGCCCATAGATGGCCTGCTCGCGGGTCGAGGCCCCAGTCGGATATCCCGGCGCCAAGAATCTCGACAGCGGCCGCCGCTCGATTCCGGCAGCCCCGCGAGGCACTGCTCGACTCTGCATATGGGCAGGGAGATGGTATGACATGTGACTGTGGTTCCAGGCAGGAACGTGCTTGTCGAGGTTGTCGGGATGTGCGCTTGGGACGGTATTGATGGTGTCGGTGGTGGTATTAATAGTGTCGTGCGTGAAGATGCTATCGGCATCGTACGATCTCGTTGATTCTGAGCGAGCGGACATGCTGTTGCTGTCCATTGTATCACTTTGGGCCGCTTATTGTTGATGGATACCCGGATCGACCGCCGCAACGGATGAGGAATGTGGGAGCAAATAGTTGATAGGCTGTCAGAAGCTCGCGTTGCTACCGTACACCGAGTTTATGTTGATGAAGCCGATCCAGACGCAACGAGCGGAACACAGCAGCAGAAATCAGTGGGGACCCATTCCTGTGTCCCAGGGGAAACGACGATTGTGCAGATGAAACTGGACGGTCCCGCATCCGATGCGGTGGAAAGACTGTCCATGGCTGATGTAGCTCTATCTATCCGAAGCAGCGAGCTAAGCGATGTCGGCCACAGCCGCAAGGGCGGACCGGTGGCGGCTGATACTCGGAAGCATGTCGATCGCAAGCGAAGGCAGCGTTTCTCACGAGGCGCGGCAAGCCCGAGCCGATGAGAACTGATGGCGACGTTCCTAGGACCCTACTGCGGATCTAGCTTCACTCATCCACAGGACGGAAGCGGCGTCTGCCCCTGCTAGCTCCGCCTGCAAGCTCGTATGAACACATGCAGACCCACGCCTGTTCGCCGAGCGTGGTGGGAAACGATGCGTCTTTCTCTTTGGTGCTTGCAGGTGCGTGTGGGTCTCGTCTGCGCGCTGCATGCGCGCCAAAGCAAGAAGACTTGACCGGGGCGGGATTGCAGTCGCTTCGATTCGGACGAGCAGCTTCCATGGCAACTCGCCGCACATTTCTCACGCACCTGCAAGGTCCTTGTGGCATGCTGCTCCAGCCACCACTTGGCTGTGCAGCGCGGCGACGTCGGGCGCAAGAAGCGCGGGATCTCTCTGCTGCCAGATGCTTATCTGGGCGTTGGCACAATCTGGCAGTTGCCCCACTCCGACCAATGCGTGCAGCCGGGAGATAAGGAGCGGGCAGGAAAAATTCGATCGTTGCTGTTATGTTTCTCGCGTCGAAAAATAGCTGAACTTCTTTCGAAGTCTAACAAGGTCCGAAAAATCGACTCGAGCACGCCAACGTCGGGGTCGCTCGCGCAATGGGCTCGACATGACGCCTTCGCAGCGCATGTCAGAATGGGCCGCGGCAGTGCAGCTCGGATTTACGTGGGTTGGACTACGCAAGCAGCCTGGGCCGTGTCAGGTTGCGCCATCGCCGCCTTGTCTTTGCCTCATGGCGACATGGGTCCACTCGGCACTTTGCGCGGCCTCAGCCTCTGCCAAGTGGTGGATGTCGAGCGATGGCGAGCTCATCCCACCCCTGGTCGGCGCAGCTTCCCCACATTCGCCTGCTCGCATGGCGCAGCATCCTCGCCTCGGCACCTCGACATGCCGTGCTCGCTGACGCCTCCTTTTGCAGCGCCGCCAAGTCACCGACGTCCACAGCATTCATGCAGGGCTTGCGTGCGTGTCGTGTGTAATGCCGCTCTGGCCTAGACTGCCTCTTGCCTCAAGCATCGCTCACATTGAACCAAAGCCAAGCCCCGCATTTGCTCGCGCTTGAGCGTCTGGAGCCCGATGATGGAACAGCCACCGAGCTCGTAGCACGCTTGCTACGATCCCGGCGTAGATGTAGCGCCCCGGAAAGCCGTCCTCCGGCTTATGAGCTGGCTTGATGGCGTGTCCAGTCACGCAAGACCTTCGAGATAAGCTGAGAAGAATGGGCAGGATTCACCTCTGCGGTCGCCGGTACACGGCTGAGCCAATGCATTGTCTGCCCCGAACGTTGACTCACGCAGACTGAGCTTGTAGCAACAAGGCCAACGTATAAAGAGCTGAGCCTCGTTGGTCTCATCCGCCCCGTCCACTAACGCATTATCTTCTCAAGCAAGAATCACTCTCAGTTCCCGTCTTTGCTTACATCCCCTCCATCACAACCATGGCACCTGTCGCAGTGGAGCCTCGCCCCACCTCGCCCTCCGTGGCTTCGGGCTCGAAGGCCAACGGTAAGCGCTTTGCTGGCGCCTCGACCAACCGCGCGCACAACTACTCGTCCGAGCACTTTGACCTCGGCGCCCTGGCGACCGAAGACGACTACCCGTACAACGACTTCAAGCCGTCCTTTCCCAAGGTGCACTGGGACGCGTACGAGCCCATTGAGCCGCCCACGGACCGCGGTCTGTTCGCCGACCCGGAGAAGAAGGCGCTGTTTGGCGCTGCCACGGCGGTCAAGGATCTGACGCGCACCATCGGTACCGAGCTCGAGGGCATCAAGCTCGGCGAGCTCAGCGACAAGCAGAAGGACGAGCTGGCGCTGCTCGTGGCTGAACGAGGCGTGGTGTTCCTGCGTGGTCAGGATGACTGGACCATTGACCAGCAGCTCGAGCTCGGACGCTACTGGGGACCTCTGCACAAGCACGCCACCACGGGTGTGCCTGCTCGTGGCGACCTGGACGAGGTGCACGTGGTGTACGCGCACCCGACCTCGGACCCCAACGAGAAGGTGTACCGTGGGCCTGTGCAGCACTCGCGCGCCGACCTGTGGCACTCGGACGTCACGTACGAGGTGAACCCTCCGTCCTACACGAGCTTCAAGCTGCTCGTCTCGCCCGAGGCTGGTGGAGACACGCTGTGGGCTTCGGGCTACGCTGCATATGACCGCCTATCGTACCCACTGCGTCAGTATCTCGAGTCGCTCACTGCGATCCACTCTGCAGTGGACCAGGCGGAGGGCGCGCGTCGATACGGCAACACGGTGCGCCGCGAGCCGGTCGAGACCGAGCACCCGCTCGTGCGCGTCCACCCGGTGACCAAGCACAAGGCGCTCTTCTTCAACCCGGGCTTCGTCAAGTACATCCCCGGCGTGCCCAAGGCCGAGTCGGACTACCTCGTCCAGTTCCTCACCAACCACGTCTCGTCGGCGAGCGACTTTAGCGTGCGCTTCAAGTGGAACGCAGGCGACGTGGCCATCTGGGACAACCGCACCAACATCCACTCGGCCATCTACGAGGATGTCGGCGTCTCCAGGAGGCACGCCGTCCGCGTCGCCGTGCGCGGAGAGATCCCCACCGACAGCGAAGACGGCACCAGCCGCGAGGAGGAGTACTACAAGGCCAGGGGCTTCCGCGTCGACAGGAGCGTGCAGAAGGGCCAGCGCCGCCAGGCAGGCTACAAGGACTAGTCGCTCCCGTTTGCATCCCTCTGAACCCACCTATACCCGCATCGCCACATCTGCATCGCAATCGACCGTTTCACAGTACGAACAGTCCGCCTGCCTGCTGCCTGCTCTTGAGTGTCTGTCTGCCTCGGCGAGCTTGATGAGTAAGGATCTAACATATTGTCATAATTTGAGGGGGTTTGCCTCCACATCAGAAGTCGCTGCGCGCTGCTGCACGAGAGCAGTAGAAAAGCAGCAGTCAGCAGTGCAGGTGTCTGACTGAACCCTGTCATGCATGCCGCCTGTCGTCATCCGAGCAGCGGCGGTGCCGAGCCCGACAGCGCGAGTAGCGGCGCCGTAGGCCCGTTTGGAAGAACTGAGCCTCGCCCGCTTCGATAGCTGAACCTCTACTTTACTTTCCACCACAACCCGAGACCAAAGCACACACTACGATGTCGGACAGCGAGGTCAAGATTGGGAGCTACTTGCTCGAGCGCCTGGCGCAGCTGGGCACGCACAGCGTGCAGGGCGTTCCGGGCGACTTCAACATGGGCTTCCTGGACCTCATCGAGGACCACGCCAAGCTGCGCTGGATCGGCAATGCGAACGAGCTCAATGCGGCGTACGCCGCAGACGGATATGCGCGCGTCAAGCGTACGCTCGGCGCCGTGGTGACCACGTTTGGCGTAGGCGAGCTGAGTGCGCTCAACGGCGTGGCCGGCAGCTTCTCGGAGCGTCTGCCGGTGATCCACATCGTAGGCGTGCCCTCCACAGCGGCACAGGGCAGCCACTCGCTGCTGCACCACACGCTCGGCGACGGCCGCTTCTCGGCATTTGAAAACATGAGCAAGGAGATCTCGGTGGATAGTGCGGTGCTCAAGCAGAAAGAAGGCGCCGGCGAGGCCATCGACCGCATCCTTGTTAGCGCAATGAGCAAGGCCCGTCCCGTCTATCTCGCTCTGCCCACGGACTTGGTGCATGCCACCATCCCCGCGGGAGCGCTCAAGACACCGCTCGAGTACAGTCCGCCGCCCAACGACGAGGATGCGGAAAAGTACGTGCTGAATGTGGCGCACGACCACATCGCCAAGGCCAAGAGTGCGGTCATCCTCGTGGATGCGTGTGCGGCGCGCCATGGATGCATCGAGGAATCGCGCGAGCTCATCGAAAAGTCGGGCCTGCCCGTCTTTGCCACGCCCATGGGCAAGGCGATCATCGACGAGGACCACGCGCAGTACGGCGGAATCTATGTGGGCAGCCTGACGACTGAGCCGGTCAAGCAGGTGCTCGAGTCGGCCGACGTACTCATCATGCTCGGCTCGCTCAAGAGCGACTTTAACTCGGGCAACTTTAGCTACCGCACGCCGCGGTCGCGCACCATCGAGCTGCATTCGGACTACACCACCATCGGCTACTCGCACTATCCAGGCATTGGCATGAAGCGCCTGCTGCCCAAGCTGAGCGCCATGCTCGCTGCGGACGGAGAGAAGCGCCGGGAGGAGACGATGCAGGTGGTGCCCAAGTTCACCAACGTGCTGCCGGACGAGAAGGGGGATGCGATCAGCCAGGCGTGGCTGTGGCCTCGCATGGGCATGTTCTTCCAGCCCAAAGACCAGGTGGTAGTGGAAACGGGCACGTCGAGCTTCGGGATGCTCGAGGCCAAGCTGCCGCGCGAGACACGTTGGGTATCGCAGGTGCTGTGGGGCTCCATCGGCTGGTCCGTGGGTGCTACGCTAGGTGTGGCGCTCGCTGCGCGCGAGCTGCAAATCGGCCGCACCCATCTATTCGTCGGCGACGGCTCCCTCCAGTTGACAGTGCAGGAGGTGGGCACCATGATCAAGCACGGCCTCAACCCGTACCTGTTTGTACTCAACAACGACGGCTACGAGATCGAACGCCAGATCCACGGCCCCCAGCGCAGCTACAACGACATTCAGCCGTACGACCACTCGATCCTACTCGACTTTTTCTCGCGCCCCAAAACGGCGCCGCAGTCGCAAGAGGAGAGCCACAGCAAGGATCCTAAGCCCAGCAACAAGCAGTACTACGCGGTCAAGACAAGGAAGGAGCTGGACGAGCTGCTGAGTGATGCGGATTTCAACGTGCCGGATCGCATCAGGCTCATCGAGATCTTTGTTCCGCGTGGCGACGCACCCACCGCTCTCAGGCGCCAGGCCGAGGCGACTGGCTCAGCCAACAAGTACGACTAGCCCGTTTGATCCGCCCATGCTTTCCTTGCTTGTGATTGTGTCATCCTGATGTCAATTCCAGATTCAAATGGGATGCTTCACAGACGTGCGTGCCTGCTCATCCGCGCACACGCGCACAAAAAGACAGAAAGAACAACGGCTCGGTCGGTACACTGCTGGCAGATAAACGAATGTGATTTCCATGTGCCTCTCAGCCAGACTAGGCTGCGGGCAAGACGGGTGCTTACTGGGTCTTGACGGTGAGCTTGGCGGGCTTCTCTGCGTCCTCGCCAAAGATGTTGATGTCCCACTGGGGTGCGTAGGTGTAGGGGATGTTGAAGCGCACCTTGCCCAGCTCCTTGTACAGGCTGGTGACGGTCTCGTAGTCCTCGTCCTTGAGCTCGATCTGCTCAAAGTTGGACTTGATCCTCGACTCGGTGACGCTCTTGGGGATGACCGAGTAGCCACGCTTGACGCCCCAGGCGATGAGCACCTGCGCCGGGTCGGCGTTGTACTTCTTGGCCACCTCGGACACTTGCGGGTAGTCGACAATCTTGGTCTTGCCGCTCAGGTTGTTGCCGAGCGGCGAGTAGGCGGTGAGGTGGATGTTCTTGGCCTTGCAGTAGGCAACCAGGTCATCCTGGGGCAGAAGAGGGTGCGCCTCGATCTGGTTGACGGCGGGCACGACGCCGGTGGCGTTGATGATGGCGTCGAGGTCGTTCTGAGTGAAGTTGGAGACGCCGATTGACTTGACCTTGCCGGCCTTCTGGAGCTCGATGAGCGCCTTCCAGGTGTCGACGATCGAGACCTCGCGGTCAATGTCGGTCTGCTTGCCGTCGGCGATCTTGGGGACGAGGTCCTGGCCGGGCTTGAAGGCGACGGGCCAGTGGATGAGGTAGAGGTCGAGGTAGTCGAGGCCGAGCTGCTGGAGCGTCTCTTCGTAGGCGGCCTGGACGTTCTCGGGGCGGTGCGAGTTGTTCCAGAGCTTGGAGGTGATGAAGAGCTCCTCGCGCTTGACGATCGAGGGGATGATCTTCTTGAAGGCGCCGCCGATCTCCTCCTGGTTCTGGTAGATGCGCGCGAGGTCGAGGTGGCGGTAGCCGGCCTTGACGGCGACCTCGACGGCGTTGGCGACCTCACCGGGCTTGGACAGCCAGGTGCCGAGGCCGATCTGGGGGATCTTGTTGCCGTCGTTGAGAGTGACGTACTTGTTGAGCGACATGACGATGATGTGTGTGTTTGTGTGGTGGAAAGGGAACTGCATCAATCAGGCGCAGACGGGCCCGGTTATATACTCGCTAGAGGCAGGGACTGCTTTGGCTTCTTCTTGAAACCGCTGACGGCGAAACGCACGGTTCGCACGTCAGCCCCACTGGAGAGCTGAGCATCTGCTGCAGCAGCCAAGTGGCGTGGCCGTGGCGTTGCGTGATGGACCCCACTCAGCTCGGCACTTTTCGGCGCTTCCGTCAGATCCACCGAGGATCCAGCGGAGGGGGACCGCCACCCACCACTCCTCATCACCGTTGGCTCTCGGACAGCAACCGGAGCGAGGCCGTGCTGCACGGGCCAAGGTGCCCGCCACTACGGTACTCGAATTTTTCTTCCACGCCTTTCTTCCTACAGTAGCCAGCTGCTCGGCTGCCTGGCCGCGAATGACCTCATTTGCCGAGCCAACCACGAAATTCGCTCTGCCCTCGAGCGACTGCAACGTGGAGCGTGTTCCGAGAAAAGCACCCCTTTTTCCAAAATTCGGCCCTGAAAAATGGTCTGAAAATTAGTGACCGAAAAAGGTCCGGCAGCGAGGCCGACAACACCGACACCCGCCACGCACTTGTCCGCACCTCGTCGGCCCTCACCCCACGTTGACGCTGCCACACAGTTTCATGCTCCTGCACCGCGGTCCAACGAGCTGCTCGCCATCATTGGTTGCGCTTGCATGCAGCTGCGTTGGCCAGCGCCGTGACTCGCCCTCCACCCCCTCCACAGTGCAACCTCCACACGCCCACACTCACTCCACAATTTGGCCAGCGTCAGGAGGCCTGGCTGAGCCGCCCAGGGTATCTCCATACATTTGACAGCGAGCGCAGTCGACGTTTCCGAACAGCCGAGCGCGTGGCGAACGGAACTCGGCGACGAGCCCCACAATCTGCACATCAAACACGGCGTCGGTGGTATCGCCACTTGCATTGCCGGACCGATCGGCTACCGTCTGCCCTTGCCCTTGCGTGTGGGCTTGGGGCGCATCTCGACATCTCCACCCTGCGCCTCGCCGCCCTCCTGGTCGATCTTTTCGCGCGCCTGGACGAAAAACATGAGATCGCCCACCTGCTCTTGGAGATCCGTCACCTGCACCTGCAGCGCCGCCTCGCTCTCCTTGGTGCGCTCGAGCCGCTCCATGAGACCCTTGCTGATCGAGCGCTCTGAGTGCAGATCCCGCTCCAGCGTACGCGCCAGCTCCACTGCCTTGTCCCCCTTGCGCTCGCTCTTGTCCTTTTCCCTGCGCAGCGCGTCGTTGGTACGCTCGAGCTCCGCCGTGCGCTGCTCGAGCTCGTCGATACGCTGCGATTTTGTCGAAAGCGAAGCAAGCTCGCCCGTCATGGCGGTGAGTTGTGCCTGGAACTGGTCCAGCTTGTCTTCGTAAAAGTGGCGTTGCGACTCGAGCTGGCTCGTGAGCAGGTACGAATACTCCATCCCGATCGCCTCGAGCTTGTCGTCCGCCGATCGACTCGATCCCGCACGCGGCGCGTCCGTCGCTCGCTGCACCTCGTCGTCATCGTGCACTGCCTCATCGTTTCCATGTGCGTCCGAGCGACGACCATCGTCTCGCGCAAAGTGCGCAGGAGGCCCCGAATATTTGGTGCCGCTTGTCGACATTGCGGAGGCATAGCTCGCCGACGCAGGCAGCGTGCGACTTCGCTCGGGCGTCGCCGTGGCCGACGTGGCCGAGGGCAACTCGACGAGTTTGCCATCCGCCTTGTTCTGGATCAGCCGATGCACGTAGCCGTCGCCGGCGTAGTCCCACACGCGCTGCGTCTCGAGCTCGAGGCTGTACAGGTGACCCGTCTCGCTAAAGTGCCTGTGCGCGTGGCCCTGCTTGTACCGGCCGCATCCCACCGACGCACACACCAGACACACCCACAGGTCCTGCTGCGTCTCGCACACGGCGCAGCAGCTCGGTTCGTCCGCATCGCTCTCGTCGTCCGATTCCACGTCGTCACGCCCGCCTCGCGAAGGGGTCGAGGGGTCCATGGATGTGCGTGGCGCCCGGCGCCGATGTTGCGCCGAAGCCTGGCCTGTCTGCGAATATCGGCAGACTGGACAGCGCGACTCGCCCCATTTCGACAGGCACGAGCAGTGAAACGTGTGCTGGCACGAGATGGTCATCAGGCCCGTCACCGAGCTGTCCATGCGTTCCAAGCACACGGGGCACGTGGGCAATTCGTGCCCCGCCTGGTTCGAAGCGTTTGCGGGAGGCCGCAGAGGCCAGGGGTCCGAGTTGGTCAGCGTGGGATAGCTAAAAGGCAGCGAGGTGTGCTTGGACACGGTGAGCGAGGTGATGTAGACCACCTGGCAGATTTCCTGCGGGTCCATCGCGTTGAACGGCTGGCCGTTGAACATCTTGTGGAAATCTTCGGCGTCCTTTGCGTCGCGGAAGCGGATAAGCACCATGCATCGATTCGGATGCATGTCACGCACCATGCGCAGATGCGTGATCGCCTCGACGGCGGGCTCAATGAAAGACAGAAAATGAGATGCAGTGAGGTGCGACGGAACTGCCAGCACGGCAACGACGGTGCCCAGGTCGTGATCCGGAATCTGATTCTGCAGCTGTTCAGCTGCCGATGCGCTGATGCCCGGCATGGCACTCTTGCCGGCAGGTGCTATTCGTGCGGACGAAGAGGAGGCCATGGCATCCTGCTTGTCACGGAAGAGGTGAACGATGCCGAAAGCGACTTCGGTAGCTCCGATCGTCATGCCGTCGAAGCGTTCGGTGCACGAGGCGAGGGCGTGATCTGCTTCCCTGGAAGAAGAATCGCCCTGGAACGAGTCGGTCTTGTCAAAGGTTGCGACGGGCAGCGACACCTGTGGTTGTTTTGCATGGAAGATGTTCTTCTTTCTGTGCGGTTTTGCCGCCGTCTTAGCCGACGAGGACGAGGGCCCCGAGGCCACATCGGAGGGGCCCTGATCTGGGTCTGCCATGTCTTCCATCGTCATGGCGGCACTGCGCTCGGCCCAATCGATACGAATGGGTCCAAAGCGGATATCGATGGGGGAGCCGAAGGATTTGGCGGATCTGTCGCGGTGAAGGAAGGAGCGCTGGGAGGCGGCGGCCTGGCCGTGGTCGCCCTGCCAAGCCGAGTCTGGCAGATGCGCAAAGATGCGGTCCGGTACGATGCGGTTGTGGCTCTGGAAGGGTGCCTGGGCTTCGAGCGCAGGATCGGGCTGAAAGAGCGAAAAGTGGACCGAGTAGGTTTCTTGCTGATCGAGGAAGAAGGCAGGTTTGGCTGGCACGGACTTGCGAGGCTTTGTGGGCATCCTGGTGACAATCACCTCGGCGGACACACGTACGAAACCTTTCGCGATCCAGCTATCGAAGCCAAGAGCAGCTTTTGGATCGAGGCGAGCGAGCTACTGTGTTGGAGGTTCTGGCGTTGCAAAGTGGTAGCAGGTGACGAGGTAGCGACACTCTTTCAGAGTGCACTTGCAGCCTCCACCTGCAGTGCGGGTGTGGACCCTGAGCTCAGTCGCCGCTGCGAGTCTGAACGGTTGGTCTGGACAAGTCACGTGATGGGACCGGTTGCAACGCGCCGAGTCGAAGACCGATTTGAAATTTGGCGCGCTTAGCAATTTGGCTCGTGTTGATCTCGGCCTGCAGCAGCGCCTCTATTTCTGGTGCGACTTACCTTTTTCCCTCACCCTCATACTACACCGACAGCAACCGAAAGCAATGGTACCGGCTCGTCACACTTGGTACGAGTGAGGAAGAGTGCACAAATTGATGCTACGGTAGCGTGACTGTGGCTTTGTCGAGAATACGGAGCCAGGGTCCTGTTTGGAGTCGTCATGGAATGCGGCGAAGCGAATGGCCGAGCGAGTGTCTCTCTGAGCCTTAATTTTCTCATGTACGACGGCGATGTCTCCAAGGAAAGCGATCGCCGGAGCTAGCTTGCTTTCGCCCGAACCGGTCAGTCCACGGTAAGGAGGACAATCCGATGTGTGTATGTTGAGTCCCAGGGCAGATGCAACGGGTGTGCCTGTCCGACCTTTTGGCAGCATGCAGCGTAGATCCTCCTTGCGACCGACCTGCTGCACGACCATGCATCTCGCCGAACCACAAAACGCCCTTCCTCACCCAGGCCTCCACCTCGCCTGACCCCGGTGCCACAACCTGGCCGGCGCCTTCGAATCTGCTTCCTTTACGGCGTGGGATTCTTGCTTTGCTCCGCTCGACAACGCGCTACACTAGCTCATGTGCGCTTGTACCTCCCATTCGGGCAGGCCTTAGGCGCTCTTGCCACCCCTTCGAACCCTCGCCGAACCCTGGTCCATCTCCGCCAGCGCCCCGGTCCTAACCACACCTTGATTTCCTCTCAAGCGTGTGTCGTAGCCACCATGTCTTCACACGGTGTCGCTCATCCACGCTCGGCCGCTGGCACACCTACACAGACACGCCCTTCTTTCAGCACGGCTCGCGACCACTTCAGCCCAGGCAACTCGCGGCCCAACGCCATGTCGCGCTCTATCGACCTCGAAGCCACCATCGAGACCTGGCTGGATGCGCTCAACTCACCTCTCTCCACACCATCCGAGCGAACCTCGACGCTGAACGACATCGAGAGACTCCTCGTCAATCTCACCGACCCTAGCTCTCGCTCTTCAGCTCTTGTCGGCCTCGACCATGCAGCCACGTTCTGGTCTCTCCAGGCCACGGCTGGCTTCAGTCTGGCAGAGGCACTCATGGCGCTCGTCTTCCGCCTCCATCTCGACCTGCAGCGCGAGCACGAGCTACAAGCGACGCACGCATCATCCTCGCTGTATGCGGCCGCCGATGCCGCTCCGCCACTCGATGGACTGGGCATTCAGATGAGCAAAGCGCACAACAAACAAGCGAAGATGTCGGTATGGAGCATGTCCGAAGCGCAACATCAGCGTCTGCACGCTACTGTGTCCGAGTTCTGCATCGCCATCACCATCTTGCAGGGGCTGACGTTGTGCAGCACGTCAAGCAAGCGCATCATGCGCCGCAAGTCGTCCTTGGAACTGCTCCTTCAGATCGTACTCGCCGACTACTGCACACAGCTGCTTCCGCCCGTCCTCATGCCTGCATCACAAGCGCTCACACCCACCAGCCCCTCGTTCTCGCTGCCTCCAACACCGTCGACGCCTGCATCCTCGTCGTCTTCGTCTCCGTCCAAGTCGTCCGTGACCGCCTCGTCGAGCGCAGACTCGGTAGCAGAAGCGCCGCTGTCGCTGCCATCTGGGTTCGCGCTCGATCTGTTGATGTGCGTTTTGGTCGACAGCCAAGAGGCGCAGGACCGGTTCGCCGAGATGGGCGGGATCCATCAGATTGTGCAGCTCAGCCACAAGTGCGCCGACACTGTCACCACGCCCGTCAGCACACCTGTCACCGCCACCAGCCCGAGTCTGCGCGATGTCGCCGCAACCAGCGCCGCGCGGTCGGGTCACATCGTGGCGCTCAAGCAGACGGACCTGCTGTGTCTCGAGTTCCGCTACTTCTGGTCACAGCTGCTCAACAGTGAGCCGGCGCGCAGAGCGAGCCTCGACAACGTCGCCGGCACCCACTCGGCTGCGACGAGCTTCTACAGCGTCATGGATCCGCCCTCGACCGTGCTCGTGGAGGCGGAGACAGCTGCGGAACCAAGCACGCCCAAGGCGTCGCTGAGGAAGAGAGCGTCCCGACGCGTGCTGGGCGAAAGCGAGACGCCGCTGGTCGAAACGCCAAAGGCTCGTGGTCGGGTGCAAGCTCCTTCATCGACACGAGCCACAAGCGAGGAGGCGCCTTCGAGGACGCTCGATCAGCAAGCGGGCGAGGTAAACGCTTCGCCGAGGAGGCTGCGCCATAGCACGTCGGTGGCTGAGCTGCGCAAGAAGCCGTCGGTGGCCAAGAGCATGCCGCCCGTCCCGCCGCTGCCCATCTTGGAGCCGACGGTGTCGATTGCAATCAAGCCGGACGCAGCTTCCAGCGAGCGACGCTTCGCTTCACGACGGCCCGCGACCTCGGGCTCGGGCAGTGCATCTGTGCGTCCGAGTGCATCCGCTCTGCCGGGAGGAGGACAGCTGGGCGAGCGCGTGCGCAGGTCGACTGTCTCCGAAGCGTCCACTGCCGATGGTGGTCCGGATCGGATCAAGTTTAGCCCTACACGGCCGGGCATGTCTTCTCGAGAGCGACCGCGCATTCCGTCGCCGCTCAAGCCGCGCAGTGCAGCGCAGCAGGCCGCCGAGCTCGACACCCAGCGACGCGCCGATGCGCTAACCAACCAGGCCATCCCCTACCGCCGTCTGCGCGCCTCCACTGCCAGCACGCCCTTCTCGCCCACCGACAACGTTGCTGCTGCGCATCGTGATGCGGACGCCGAGAACTGCAATCCCTTCTCGACCGCCCACACGCAAGCCAAGCCGCAGCAAGAGGCTCGCACCCAGCTGCGTTCCAAGCGATCCACCCACATGCTTCGAGAAAGCCCACAGCCCATGGCCGACGTTGTTGCAGGTGCAGGATCGATGCGCAGAAGCGACACGAGGGTGGGCATGGTGCCCAGCGAGTCGGCCTACAGCCTTGGCGTCGGGAGCGGGCCAGTCAAGCTCCCGCCCAGTCCGGCGGTGAGACGCGCCCAGCTGGCCCGCGCACGCAGCTTGTCGCCCACCAAACTTACCCATCTCGGCCAGCGCCTGTCTGTTGCGCAGCCAGATCTGTAGTTCAAACGCAATGCATCTTTATCATCACTTCCAAGCATCGTTGCGTGAGCAAAGGCCCCATCATACAAGGACAGATTGATGGTTGGGCGTTGATAAAAGATGTGAGATCTAGAACAATGCACAACGTGGCATTTTCGTGATCGGGATTTTCCCTGCGGCGGGAAAAAGGACTCCAAAAAAAAAAGAACCTGAGCGGCTGCGCTGGGTGCACAACTTGTGCAACCCGCTCTCTCCACCCTTGCCTCTTCTCCACCACCATTCCGGCAAGGGTAAGTTGCATCTCAGAAGTTGAACGGCACAGCATCCGATGGCGCAGCGCACAACGACCGCAAAAGGGGGAACGATGATCAACCAATTTGACTACAGGAATCTCGTTAGTCCTAACAAACTTTGCGGACACTCAAATTACCATTCAAGTTTCAGCCTTGTCTGACCCCCTTTTGCGTCCAAACCGCCAGCATCGCCTGCTGCACAAGCCGCTTCATCTCACCCCTGTTGTGATGGAGCAAGACGCTGACCCCGCTTCTTTCATTTCGACCGCGATATAGATCTTCCACCCTGCTCCCATGTCGAATCAAATCCATATCGAAGCTTCACCGTTCGTGAATCCAAGCCTGTGCCAGATACATTCCGTCCCGACAAGCGATCACGGCGTGCGCAATCTTGTGAACATTGATGGTGGTACAAGTACAATTGTGTCAAGAGATGTGGTATGAGCGCCCATTCTGTGAGGGCTGTAAGGATCTTCTGAGTATGCATGTGCGTCTCGCCGTCAGTATCGCCACTGCGACGGCGGGTGCGGGGGAGGCGGGTTGGCAGGCGGGTACGCTGCAGCCCGCGGCGGCGGCGGGTATGGGTAGGCGTAGCGGGCGTCGTGCTGCATCTCGAGCGGCGGTGTGACACGCGGGTACGCATACCTGGCATCAGCCATGGGAGCATCCTCGCTGTACCTCGGCATCGGCGGCTCCTGAAACGCCGGGTATCCGTGCTGATACACGGGATAGCTGGGATGCGCGTACGGATCGTGCAGAGCACGCTCGCGATCGTAGTCAAACTCGCGCGCGGCGCCGTATCCCGCCCTGGCCCCATAGCCGGCATACGAAGGAGTTGCAAGCATGTTGGACCTGGAGTCGTCGATGCGCATGTCGTGGAAGCTGCCCGGCTCAAAGTCTCGAGCCTGTGCTGCGTCGAAGCCCAGGGCTGACGCCTCCTTCGAGCTTGATTGCATCCTGTCGGACACGCCGTATCGACCATCGGCTTGCTGAGACTTGGAAGCCTGCATCGACGACGGCTCAACCTCGTCGATCTCTCCGTACGGAGGATCCCGCTGAACGCGCCCCTTCTTCCATAGCCGAGCACCCGGCGGCGGCGGCTTCTTCCTCTTCCTCTTCCTGTCACGGATCTGGTCCTGGTCGAGCTTGGACGAGGGTGCTGGACTGGGCGCCCTACTGGACACCATCGATCTAGCCCCGTCTCCGACTTCGGCGGGCGTCTGCAGTCCCGATGCGGCGGCACTGACGTCCGTTGCCTCCTTCGATGCAGCTATCTGATTGGCCAGGCGCAGCTGTCGCGCCCACAGGCTCTCGTCCGCATCGCCGTCAGAGTCGCTGTCGGCGCCGAGCAGCGAGACCGCTTCGGACACCAAGCCGTCCGCATCCGAGACAACCACGTCGATGTCAGTCACGCTCGGCATGCGCGGCGAGCTGCAGACGGAGCTGAACGACGGCAGCGACGAGATGCCCGAATCGGACGACATGTAAGAGGAGTCCGAGTCGTAGTCCTCGTCCCAGTCGGACGCCTCCGCCGAGGCGATGGACATCGCCTGTTCGTCGGCCTCTCCGTCGCCAGGGAGCGCAGCCTCGGACGTGGGCCGTTCCGCATCGTTGGCCTCCTCCTCCTGAGCACGCTCGCTCTTTCGCGTTCGTCGCTTGTGCTCTCGCCAAGCCTCCTGCATCTTTCGAAGGTCTGCACGGACCAAGGGATCCTGGATCTCCGCGTACCTCGAACCGGACAAGAAACCTCCGAACTTCTTGTACAGAGCCACGCTGTCCGGATCCTCGAGACCAGCGATCGAAGGAGTCCAGATATTGTGCGTGAGCTTGGCATAGCCTCGCGTCTTTCGACGATGCACGGCCAGCAGATCGAGCTCCATCTCGGCCTGCCATCGCGCATGCCTGGCCTCGAACGCGGCCTCGCGATACAACGGACCAGCGCGAGCGTCGATATAGCTCGACCAGGCAAGCTTGCGGTCGCACGTCCAGATACGTTCGATCTCGGCCTTGCGCATCTCGAGCTGCAGTCGCAGTCGCGACAGCTCGCCCGCTCGCCATTCGTCCACGACGTCGTCAAAGTTGGACAGATAGCGAATGCTCTCGTACAGCTCGCCGCTGGCCTGCATCTCCTCGAGGTACTCCGCTTCCTCGCGAGCGTAAAGCTCCTCGGTATCGAGAGTGTCGAGGGGGACGAGTCGGCCTGGAGCGAACTTGCTGAAGCGCTCGTGTCGCTCCCGGTCGGCGCGCTCAGCCTCGTCGCTATCATCTTGGCCTGTCTCTTCGATCCACGGGGCAGGGAGATCAAAGGCGGCGAGCTCAGCGATCTTGGTCAGGCGGTCCAGCTCGGTCGTGTCGAGCTTCGGGATGGCGGCGGCGCAGGCCTGCAGGATCTGAGACGCCATCTCGTCCTCATCCGTCCAGGCCTGCATGTACGAGGGCACTGGCGGGGTTGCGGGGATGCGTGGCGGTGTTGGCGAACGCGCTTTTGGGCTGGGACCGCTCATGAGCGCTGAGATGGACATGATGTTGGAGCGGGCGGGTCTGGGTACCGGCGACATGGGCTCGTCCTCGACGCTTTCCGCTTTGTGGTCCCACGAGTAAGGCTGGTGGCTTGCGTAGCTCGGATACGGGCCTTGTGTGTAAGAGGCGGAGATGGATGAGGGCGCAGTGCCGTTTGTTGCGCGAGCCGTGTCCATCAGGGCGACCTCGGGCGAAGATTCGGGCGAGAAGGGAGGGCGTGCATGTGATGCTGCAGCATGTGCCAGCTGAGGCGACTCAGGAGGTTCTGTCTTGACGATAGTGTCGTACGCAATCGACTCGACAGCGCCAGACATTTGCGGCTGGTTGTAGCCTGGTGCGGCGGGTGTGAGGACATCGGACCGTGTCGCACTGGTTTCGAGACCATGTGCAGTGTTATGCGCGGGAAGAGGGGCAGTGTTATGCGAATCGTCAACTTTGTCCGCCGGTGGAGGTGACGCAAAGCGGGCGCG